TCTGTTCTGATGCACAGTTGATGTCTCCAAAATCCTGTTCGTATTCCTACCGTATAACCACGGGGTCAACAAAAGATCGTTGGCTTCAAATGCAATGCATTTACTAACAGAACTATCGATTGGTTTGCATGCAGAAGTGGTTAGATAGTAAAATAAATAAAAGGAACAAGAAAAAGTTCCTTAAAAAAATGTCAGGTAAACGACTTGTGTTTACGTATGTGGTTATGTAAAGTTAGCTTGTACACGACCAGAATATTCGATACTTTACAATTAAATGTAAATGAAAAATCTACGTGACAAGCGTGACCAAATTCAATGATCTTTTTGTTAGGTTTGCACGGAATAATTTAAGTAGTTTTGTTTTATCCGAACGCTGTTTGCAGCGTTACATTTTAATGCACTACGATAAAAAGGAAACAATTGTTAGTAAATTTTTGCGTTTCTTCTCACGTATTTGATTATAATTTAATGAAATTTATTTTTATGGCGTACGTAGATACCTAATATTAACCAAAATGAAACGCCTAAGGATAATCCTTATTATATGGCTACATTTTACTAAAATAAATTAATAATACAGTGTAAACTCTTTATAATGTCACTCGATTTAGCGACAAACTCGAAATTGCTTGACTTTGGTTGCTTTACATTGTTTTCTATACAATATTACACTCTATATAGCGTCACGCTCACTCTATTTAACGACAACAATGCGGCATTATAAATCATTAAGCACTACTTTGTAAGTTGCCGAAATAGATAAGAACTGCGGCTGTGTACGTTGTTAAAGAAGACGATCCTGTCCCTCCACCAAGCATCAAACAAGCACTTGATGCAGCGAAACTATTAAAAAAATACTTTTTATATAATCAAATTGATCCAGCAGTATCTCAAGATATGAGTAAGATACGTAACAAAATACAATTAAAATATTGGAGCAGCAAAAAACATCAGACGAAGATAACAGGCTATACGCAATGTATGAATAATAATGTTCGTGTGCAAAATGTGTACTATATTGGTAAATGCATATTATTATAGAATAGTAAAATAATATCTTTTATTTCTCTCCATTTAACGACCACTCTTTATAACGCCGAAAAATGTTCAGTCCCTTAAGTGTCGTTATATAGAGTTTACACTGTATTTTGAAGGATTTTCAACCCTTAATAATTTTCTGTATTTAAGAATATTACAGTTCAATTATTATCAAATAAAAATATCAATGAATCGATTTTAACTTTTTTTTTTATAAATAGTTATCATTCATTACAACAGAAATTTTTTCTTATATTTCATTTAGAACAAAAATTCAAAGAAATTATTGGTATTGTGCATTAAGTAAAATTTTAAGTAGAAAAGTGCAGAAATTTCTACTGCACAAGCATCAGATTAATTAATTCAGTTCTCAAGACTTATGTTTCTAACAAAAGAAGTAATTAGGTTGGGAGAGCAATGTCGCTAGCATGCAAGTCTTTTATTCTCTCGATGTCTCTCTTGTTCATTAGAAAAAGTAACAACAAGAAAAAGAAAACACTGCCAGGAAAATCTCATTATAAACGAAACACGTCTGCATGGTTATGGTAGAACGTGATCTCACGTTGACTACAATCAGAGAAAAACAACGTGACTTCTGATTTGTGTAGATTGAACGCGTTTTCTTATCAAATCGTGTGTTATTACACAGGTGTTTCTAAGAGAAAAATAGGCAACTAAAACTATTACTAAAAATTGCTTATATTACTAATATTTAAATTGCTTATATTTTTATTTCTATAGATAAACACAATACCAATTTTTCGCGAAGTTCTACTACTTTTGAAAAGGACATACATGGAAAAAAATACAAATTAGTTAACCGACGATTTTAATTAAATAAATTGTTGATTGAAATTGCTTCTGATTGTAGGAGCATCGTAGGGTAAAAAATAATCTATATGCCATATTGTGATTTTACATTGCTTTAGGGGAAAATAGTTTCGACTTTAAATATTTGCTTGTAGAGTTTACAAAATAAATTTGCCTTTTTGATTGCTGAATAAATATAATAGCAAAAGAAAAAGTAATTTAGATAGAAGTCAAAATTTTAAACCACACCTGTACCTATGTGCGTTTCACAGTCAACAGTTTTTCAGCATAATTTTCTTATTTAACTTGTACAGGGTATGATAAAATATCGATAACAAAAAGCACCTTAATTTCCCTTATGAAGAAACTCCTGATTACAAACTTTTCGAAAACCAAAAACCCACTGTAAAAACATTAAAAGTTAACAAGCATTTCGCTTTTAATTACCAAATACATTACTTAACGATAGGTCGATGGCAATAAAATACAATTTTAAAAAACATAAAACGCTACGACGTATACAATAGAATTTTCTTGAAGAGTAATTAACATATGTACCTATATATGTACGTATTGTGCGTTTTCACACCATCATAATGCGTGTTTATTTATTTATCGAGTGGGCCGGGCCTTTATAATTCAATTTATTCGCGTCATCATAATGGCTATAGTAAATGTGATGTACATATGTTCAAAGAAAGATGCGCTACTGTTTTGTAATGTGCCCTACGGGGTCTATTGCAAAACAGAAACTTTTATTTATATTAGCAGCGGTGAATAAACCCTGTTGAGGTTAACGAATGCGTTCAATTGTGCTTTTTAGGTTATATGTTACTGATTATGTATTATTACACACATATGTATGTATATATAATAAATATACTTTCACTTTCAATGATCGCGGGTACTAAATAACTACTTATTTTTTAAAACATGAATTATTTTTCACGCACGCATACATGATTCGATATTTTCTTGTTACTTAGTTAGTCTTAATAGGTACCAATAACGAACCGTTTCTACGCAATGATATTATGGTTAATGTCAAATAAATACTAGATGGTAAACGGCCATTTTACTTAATCGACCGTTTCAGTTGCATTAACTGTTTATTTAGAAACGGGTTAATTGATACGATTCCATTAATTACAATTTCGCCAATTTCTATTTAATAAATCATTACACGTCGTGACCATTACAATAATTAACTATAAATCTTTATCAGAAAGTATTAAGCTTTTAATCAACCAGATTCCAACTATTTCAGCCTCTTCAATGCTCCACAGGTGTCTTCGATAAACCGTTGATCAAACCGAAGTAGAAAGCAATTATTATTGAAGGTAATTTTGGTTCTTTCTATCGAAAAATAATGAAAATTCGAGTCTTGTATCGTTTTTGTATCATTCTCTAGTGATACTGAATTGGTTTCTTTAGGTCCTGCCTCCAGAAATCTTTATCTCAACTTCTAACATTATAAAAGTGTTTTCGGCGGGGGTAGACGCGGAAAGGGTGGAGGTCAAGTATCAAATATTACAATGTGCGTAAATCGTATTTAGAAACAATGTGACGAGTGTAAATTTGGGTACCCTAATTACACTAATTATGTGTTTGTTGTTTTCTTGGCATTGGAATTTCGGGAGCGAGATATACCTAGTCTCTAAGTCAGATGAGCATCTTCTTCTTGTCATGAAAAGGTCTGACAAGATTAATAAATTATTGACTCTTGACTCATAAGGTCAACGGACGGTGACAAGTTTTGATTGACGGTTCTGATTAGGCAAAAAGTATATTATTAACAGATACTTCTGGTTTTGTCTTCAATATTCAGGATTCAATCGAATATCAAAAATTGTAGATCAAAATTTATCGATAAATGAACAAAAAGTCATCAAACACTAAAGATCTGCGACAGTGAAACCGTTATTTATTTGTGGAACAAACAAAAAACGAAATAAAAAACTGGCACATGACAAAGGCGACTACCTATGTAAAGCGACTGATTTAGCAACAACTGTTTCAGTTTTAATCAAACGGTTAATATCCGCAAGTAATGTTCTAAATGGCGAAGTCGTTGCCTTTAGTGTTTAGTTTCTTTGTCTTCGATTCCGGGTCCGACTGACCAAATTCAAAATTTTCTATAGTTTCCTTGGGTCAGAAGAGGGCATTCCGCCATATCCTTCGACGTATTCCGGAGGGGCTGCTCGCGCACCAGCATTAGTAGTTAGTAGGAATGAAACACCTAAAAGTATTTTCTTTTGAGTCGAAAAGGGAGAATCCCCCGCCTTTCTTTGTGTGAGAGAAACGCGTTACTTCTGACTGATGAGGGGAAAAATAAGTAGTAGGAAATAACGTATAGATATTCTGTGGATAAGACCAGGAAGTACAGCTCAATAGTTAGACCTCAACTTAGAATTTACGTACACAACTGCGTTAGAGTTAGTTATAGGCATACATAAAAGTGTATTATACACTTCAAAATCTTCCACTTTCTCCACACACCTGTATACCATGACCGATGTGTTAACAAATGCACTCATTTTCTCAAATAGAAACAGTGTTAATTAGCAATATCGTATATCTTTTCCCTCTGTTGAGGTCTTTTCAATGGGAGGAGTCTAAAATGCGTGGCACAAATTTGAAAATTTCTTTATAGTCTTCGCACAATATACAAATGAGCCGAGACAAAATCTCGAAAAAGAAATTTTGATTAAGATGAACACGTTTTTAATCCCGGTCGTATTATTAAATTTGGAAAAAACAATTTTAAAAGTAAACCTGCAGGGGTAATATGAATTTTTTATAAATAGATTAACATGTGCATTCCTATTATCAGACCGCAAATATAATGAAAAAAGTACGAGTAGGGAACTGTCAGGAATTGTCTAAAACACATGAAGATACTGAATATCCTTTTTGAGGTCCTGTATTTTTTGCTTTCGGCTGATACTTATTACTATCTTAAGAAGGCTATGTCTATATTAAACGAATAACCGAAACAAGAAATTTTACTACTTTTCTTTGATCCGATTCTTGCATTTTCCACAAAATCATAACACCGCGTATAAAACTTCAACCATATTGATTTTAAGCATTATATGATGATATTTGAATTCCTAACTTAACAGATTGCATGTTTTTGTTTTTTGTTGCAGGCCTACCAACGTCCAAAAAGTACTCCAGTCCAAGTAACTAAAATAATAGCAGTAACGATCATTCTGGTTTCTTTTATCCTTGGTGGATTCATTTTGGCATCATCCTACGTCACAGCCAATGCCACATTCAGGCAATTGGAACAGGAAATGCAATTGCTTAGTGATACAGCCGACAAATTTCAAGCACCATTGCAACCCGAAGCACTGATTCAGGTAAGCAATAATTTGAAGATAAAAACGTCATTTTCTGTTTTTCTATACTATAGTGTGAAAAATTATGAAATTCGAAAAAACAATTTTAGACTTGAAAAACAGCGATTTGTTTTGTTCAAACTATTAACAAAAAAGAAAAACAATTGTTGTACTGTGAATAGCAATCGACCTAGTTCCAAATAAATATTTAGACAAATATGTAAAAACTGAGAAATGAGAATAATGCCCAAACGAGGTCCTGCTGCTAATTATAAGACTATCAGTTAATCACCTTAATGAAAAGAACATTACAATAACTTCGCAAATCTTTCCAGATTTTTATTGGCCCATAAACTGCGTGCTGTTTTTCAATCCTTAATTGGTTCTAATAATAATGTAAAATAAAAATCAAATTGTGTATTTCGCTCAATAATAATCTACTAAATGCATAAACCGAGTTATTATATCACTACCATAAAATTCTGTGTTCAATTGTTTTTAATAGCTATAATTTTTTAAACTAGCTTAATACTAATAATCATTTAATGACGGTAACTATTTTTCGTAGTTTTGTGACCAATAAAATGCTGTAACCGTAAATTGCTTACATCGTGTTCTGCAAATTTACTTTTTCTTTTTTAATTTATATAATCATTTGTCAAGAAAGAAGGATAATATTAGTATAATGTATGTGCACAGTATTCTTTTAATGCAATAAAAATTGCCTCAAAAGGCTAAGACATCAAGGTTTTTAAACAACTGTACGATACCTATAATTATAATACGGAAATTATAATGAATATGAGCGTACCCTTCATACTTACATTAAGAATCAATAAAACTGTTAATGAATACATAACAATTCGATAATTAAGGTGTGTTTCCATTTAAGGGTTATAAAATGTAATCAAAGTCCGTTTGCTTATCATTCAATTAGAAAGAAAAAATTACAACATAAGTATGTATAATAACTCAATAACAATATGATATAATAAGAATAATAAATTAGTAGTTAAATACCACTTTGTTTGATCGATCAATTTATTAAGGACATAAATCAATTGTACTTTGGCATTTGACATTTTTATGGTTTTTGTCGCGAACTCCAATGTTTTTTACGAAAATAATCGGTTAAAAAATTGCATTTATAGCATATGTTTTCGATTATGTAAAAATGAAGTTACTATATTTTTTTAGGTGTATTATTAATAAATCCTTTAAAGTGAAAGTTAAAAATATTACAACCATTCGTTCAGATCTGCCCTGAGGTAAAGTAAACAGCAAAGTTATCAAAATATCGGCGCAGAATATATCACATAGTACTGAATCTCGAAATATGAGCATTAATTAAGACACTTGATAGTATTCATGTTAACGAATACTACATATAATGAATAAATATTATATAATAAAAGCAAATGTAGTTTGTCATTTTTGATTATTATACAAAC